TTAATGTATTTGTATTGATCTTGCTTGGCATTTCATTTTAGATGTTACATTTGGGAGATTTACAATTTTCAATTCCTCCCTGGAGATGTCTAATGGCGTTTTTGATGCAAATAATTTTTGCTCTACGGTATTTATTTTTTTTCTCTTTTATGTATATGAGGTTAATTAAAAAATATCCAGTTTCTAAACTGTGTGGTATTTATTGTTACAGTAACTGTAGAAAATCAAGATCTATACATTTAATTTTTTTCTTAAAAATGAGCTTCAAACCTATCCTGAGAATAGAGTAGACCATATATCTGAAGTAAAAGGATTAAATTCAAACAAAGGTATTCCTTTAAACGCCTATCAAAAGAATAGTTACTAAAGAAACCTCTCTAACTGCACACTAAAGAGTTCTAATTCTAAGGTATTTTTCTGCAGATAAAGTGATCTGCCCTTAGATCTAAATTCTAAAAAATAGAAATTTACGATATATTTCTCAATTTATAATTAATTCAAATATTCTTAACATTTTAAAAGGTCAAGATAAATCAACTGTACGTGGTATTGACTTGTATTTTCTCTACTGAAGTAATTAACAGTGATTTCTATTCAATGATACTGTGTTCTCTTTGAACATTTTCCCGGGGGTAAATGGCACGCACCATACAGTGAAAATTAATAAAATAAGCTCAATATCAACTTCCTTATACAATATAATTTTTCTCAATGTCGGAAAAAATATTTGCACTTGTGTAGAGAGGGTCCTTAATTTATTCATCAATATGGGGTTTTTTTGCTAGTTGGGATCGTTTATAGTCAACTGTAGCAGATTTCGAGATAACTACAGATTTTGCCGTATTCAGGACATTCGGTATGTTCAAAAATGTTTAGTGCATGATTTCAACATTAATTCATTTTATTGTTATTTTTCATGCACATTATACATATGTTTTGCATCATTTTTTTTAAAGAAATGAACAATTCTAAAGCAGGAAGTTTTAATTTTATAATTTATCGTATTTATTTTTTAAGAAAAAGAACTTGTTAAAAAGATCTTTCAAAGTTAATCTGAAGCTCCTTTGATAAAATCTTGACAAGAACCAGTAAATCAGAAATGTAAAACTGTTGCTTAAGAATTGTTAACTCTATCCGTTACATCATTAGGGCATCTGAGAGCATCGTCGTGGAATCACAATTATACTTTGACCCGGATATAGTATTAAAGAATGAAGAACTTTCACAAGATATAAAAAATTGCAACAAAGACGGGCTAAGCAATATAAGAATGGGATCTTTCGTCATTGAAAGAAACAGTTTGACGCTTAATACACTGCTTGCTGTGTTTGAAAAAGATCCATTGTCCTTTGATAGTCATGAAAAATCGGACGAAATGACAATTTCTCAGAGTTCGACACAATCAACTTTATTCCATACATCTGAAGTACCAACATTTGTTGAAGAAGCAGGTAGTAATTCAATCATTTAATAATTATCTTTAAAAAGTACACAATACATGTAAATGCGTTACAAAATTAATAGATGCACGTATTTGAACATTTCTTTCGCATGGTACTAGAATGATTTCTTTTGTCAAATTAGCTAAGATATCTACTTTCTTTTCATTTCATTTTTTTGCATTGAATATAAAAGGATAAAAATTAAAATAATAGTCTGAAATTAATTCAAAATAAAAACAAATGCAATCATATGCACTCCTAAATAGATACACATCAGATGTACTATTATCAAAAAGTTAATTGCTCAATGTGTTGCTGACTTTTTATGCCCCCGTTAACTAAGTTTTGGGGGTATATAATTTTGCCCTGTCCGTCTGTTTATCTGGTTGTCTATATCTCTATCCCTGTGAATGTTTGTCCGCAAAAACATTGACCATAGCTTTTGAGTTGGTGTGGTTAATGCTTTCATATTAAATAGGTATTTTTCTTGTGACAAGACCTCTCTTTTGCTACCACCAAATTTGACCTCTTGACCTTGCAGTTTGACCCACTTTTACAAAAATAAAAATCATTCTTTAAACTAGGGCATAACTTTGAACAGTTGTAGTTATGGCTTTCACACTTTACATTTGTATTCATTGTGACAAGATCCTTCATTTGGTATAAACATATTTTTTAACTTTTGCCCTCGACCTTCGAGTTTGGTCAACTTTTAAAAAGCTTTTACCTTGCCAGTAACTTTTGAACAGTTAGAATAAGGGCTTTCATATTTCATAGGGGTATTCCTTGAAACGAGATATTCCTTTGGGTACCAACTATTTTGACCTTTTGACCTTGAACTTTAGAGTTTGACATGCATTTGAAAAAATTCGGCTCTCGCCATAAGCTGTCATCAATGTTTCACAAATACGCCTTGATTCCCGATAGGTTCAATCGAATCATTTCTACAGCCTCTCTGAAAATTGATTTGTTCATATATGTGTCCACATTGTGGACCGTGCTTTTGCTCTATGAGGCATGATTTATTCTTATTATTTCCATTAACAAGAAAAGATCAGAAATAAATGTAGCTTATTCAACTATGTGTACATTGTATTATCTACATTGTACCTGTGATAAAACTAAATTTAATAACTTAAATGAGGGTTCTTATTTCACACTTTTTGTATAACTTAGGACCCAAGATATATGTTTATTTAACTTTGCCCTATATTTAATAAAGATCTTTAATGTTTTCTTTTTTATCACATTTTGATATAAAATTAAGTAATACTACTTAGCCTCTATGAAATCCGCAATTATCTCTTATTGAAAAGTACAATTTAAAGCTTTCTTAAAATATAACATTTAAAGAATTTCCAAAGGATTTATTTAAAAATAGTCTGCAGTGAAACTTTAAATACCAGGTGGATTTTATTTAGCAGAGCATCTAAAACATTGCTTTCAAGAATTCCATTTTCAAAGAAGAAATGTTTTTATTTATCCTTTTTAATTTTAAAATAATCAATAATATTGAGGTTCAAATCAAAAGTTCACAGTTTCTATTCGGATTTGATTTGATTTTCAAATTGAATGTTGTTTTCAATTCCAAACTGAGTAGAAGTGTTACTATTATCATTTTCACTCCCCCCCCTCCCCTTTGTTGAGAATGTTTTAAATTCTATAATTACAGCCTAAAATCGGACTTACCTTTTTAACCCGAAATCACTTTTAAGGTATATGAACCGCTCTTGACTTCAAATATATTAAAACTTATAAAGTAGTAAGATTATTCTCAGTGGAGATCATTGTTCTTACATTATAAACCAGGATTCCTGAACTAGACTGCTGAACATCATTTTAAATATTCAAATGTTGGAAGCAAACTTTCAACAAATTATTCATTGCGCGTCACAACATTCAATACGGCGGCCCGTTCATGTAATAAATGCAGTTTTAAATCCATTTGTCTCAAAGGGAAATAAATATAATAGCGTAAAATTTATGAAATTGTTAAAATAATTAATGATGTGGAGTCATCCTCAAGTAGTGTAGATTTAAGTTTGTTCAAGGCATGACCCCCCGGGGGTAGGATGGGGCCACATTGAGGTATCAAAGTTTAACCTAGGAATACATAGGAAAAATCTTTAAAAATCTTCCCAAGAATCACTGGGTAACATGAAATTAAAAAAAGTTTGCAAAATTAATTTGTACTGCATTTCAATATTCCTTTAGGGATTTATTACATGGTACACATCAGGATGGGGCATACAATGTGTGATTGTCTTAAGTGATGAAAGTTGAACACAGGGATACATAGGAAAAATCTTTTAAAATCTTTTTCTCAAGAACCTTTGTGCCAGGAAAGATGAAACTCATGTGAAAGCATCCTCTGGTAGTGAAGATCTAATACATTGCTTTCAAAATCATGACACCGGGGTTAAATATTATTTTATTTAATTTTAATTTCAAAATAATCAAAAAAAAAAGTCACCGTTTTCTTAAAAACAGCAAACTCATGATTTTTAAATTATAATAAAAACTTTGTTCTGTTAAATAAATATATATTAATGTTTGTTATCATTATCCCCCTTGGGTAGGATGGGCCAAAGGTTCATCAAACTTTTCTTAGAAAATACATACGGAAAATCGTCATAGAACTCAGGAACAGCAAAGCCATGGTTGTTTGTAGATACCACTGCCATTATGTGTCATTTTAATTTAGAAGAACCCTTAGGAAGTGTAGATTTTAAGTCTGTTCAAATACAACCATGAACCCAATTATATATTTTTTAAAAACTTTTCAATACTAAACTGAATTTTGCTTTTACCTAGCCAGTTGTGCAGGTAAGCGATGTGGCCCCTGAGCCTCTTGTTAAAAAATGTTCTCAAGAACATCGAAGCAATGATTAATCATATTTATATGGAAGCATCATCAGGTGGGGTAGATTCTTTTTGTTCAAATAAGTTTGTTTTGTGGCCCCCTTGGCCTCTTGTTATAACTCTGTTTATGTATTGAGGATTTACCGCAAAATGGGATACATAAGTGCAAATTGAAATAAGTCTGCATGATAGAATTCCGTGGCATTCCACTGGTTTATAATTAAATAAACAGTTCTAACTTCTTACAGAATGAACGAATAAAATCATTTAATATCTAAGACACATGCAGTTTCAAGGAATATCCCCTGATTTACATCTTGTTAAAAATATACTTTGATCCTCACAACTTTCAAGTTTGCCGTGACATTTATTAATGTATACCAAAATCTTTTTCTTCAAGACAACGCTTGTTATTCTCATTATTTGTTGATTCCTCGATATAAAACGTTGATATGTTTGATCTGCTCCAGATCTTTTGCGGTAATTTTTAACTCTGTGTTTTACTGTAATCAACATTTGTAACAAACAGCTAGCTTTATTTATGAGATGAAATCAATTTTTTCATTATGTTAATTTATGTTAAAGTTCAATATTACTGAGAGAGAAATTTACTAGTATATAATATACATGTATATTCCTCGAGGGAATCGTAAATAATTGTAGCTTATGGTAAAATTATTATCTTTTTGTAAATAGAATTCACAACGATATTTTTCTATCGTCCTAGAAGTCAGATTCTTCAGGATCACTGCAATCGTCGGTGAATCTACAACAACACAAGCATGCGTTATCTCCCCAGATGGAGAATGGCTACACGTGGAGCTATCAATCGACTATAACAGCTCATCACACGTCATTGCAAAGTTGGATCATAACAAAACATTCGAAAAACCAACCTCTGTAGAAAGATTTAACGGTAGCATCAACATGGACGGTGATGATATTGTTGTAAGATTAACTGTGGACTTAACATCACCGAAATCAGACTTCTGCACATGGGATGGCCGATACTTTATGAAATGCTCAGTGACTATGAACGATACCATGCAAACCAGGAAAAGTAATGGAAGTCGAATTTCAATTACAGGTAATAACTTCTTTCAAATAAGAAATGATATAAATTTAGATATTGTAGACTATAATACTGTCTCATCGAATGGTTCGGTCTCCACGTCCCACAGTTGGATTCGAACCCGCGACGTAAGGATCAACTTTTTACGCTGAGACTCTAGAGCAGACGCTCTAACTATTCCTCCAGGCCGGCAAATATATGAGTTTTGAAATTCCACTGCAAAAGTTTATTTAAATTTTTTAATCCATCGAAGACAATTAATCGAAATAAAGTTTTTTCAAAGATTTTTGACAATACTTGCATGTCATATTTATTTATTTAAGGTGCAGCACCTACTTTGATAGTGAATCCTGATATTTATGAAAGGTTTACAAGGCAAGGTTTAAATCATATTTGCAAAACAGTGCACACTGGAGGCATTCAAAGTGAGAAATACCTAGAAATTCAAGTTTATCGTCCAAACCATACAACTGGATTTAGATACTCAAAGAAAATACCGGAATCAGAAAAGGAGTTTAATTCAGAGAACAACATTACATATATAAACATAACGGGAAGTACTGCCAGGTTTCTCCTTGTTTCTGACTTTACTTCGAACAATTCATGCAACAATATCCAGACCATCACATTTTTATTGGATCGGCCGATAGAGTTTGACAAAGGCATTGTCAAATGTGTTTTGAGAGATGATAATTTCGAATATGCATATGCCGCAGAAATCATAAGTGTTATTCCAGGTAATTTTAAAGTTGCAGAATGAGTCATAATCATGAGTTTCTTTTAAGATTTTAAGATAATTGTACATGTATTGAAGAAACAAAAAGATGTATATGAAATATATGTAAATTTAATGAAATTCGACAATTCAACTGCATTGTAAAGCAAGGAAAGAAGTGCAAAATGTAAATGTTGTATCTTTATCTCTAAGATTTTTATCTTAGAATGTCAAAGTCACGCGTGCTTTATTTTTAGCATGCAACTTAACTTGTAAACGACATTGGAGAAAGCAAACGTTCGGAATAAGCTCTGCTAATCTTTTTCAAAGATTGTATCAAAATCTCGGTCATCCCACATTTGTATCTATTGAATTGATACCATGATAAATTTTTCAACTTTTCGGCGAATGCATACAATAAAGAGGGTTATTCAAAGATTTTGTTACTAATATTTTTCTCCATAAAAGTAGATTTCTTAGGTTCTGAAACCACCTACTATCATCAAGAACTGAAAAAATTTGAAAAAATTCTATTCTTGTCAATTTCCCTCTTTTTCTGTCATTGTGTCTCTTTAAGTTAAATGTTACGTATACAGTCTGTTGCAATAAGCCTTTATGTGCTATCTGTGGACAATCTCGGTCAGTAATATTGAAACTCAGAGAGACGAGGCAAGTGGCATCATTAAAATTTTATTAAACTATATTTGAATTATCTTTTTTCATACAGACGAATATTGTTTTGGTTACGAAGATATACCAAAACGAAATCATCCAAACAACGATTGTTTTTACTTCGTGAATTGTTTTGAGGACGGTGGCCGTATGTATGCAATAGGAGACAACTGTAGAACTCCCGGTAAATGTATGGACTTCAGTCTTGGGTATTGCGTTGACTGTCACGAAAATTTTACCTGTAAAGGTCCCGGTAAGGAAATATAAACTAAAATAACAAACCATTAAAACAGTTTTAGCATTACATATACATATGACATGCACGTAATAACTTTTTACTTGAATTCTAGTACATACATTTGTATCATACATATTTACCCCTAACGTATATATCTGATTTGCATATATATTTTATTGCAGAACCAATAACAACTACAACTACATTAGCTCCAGGAAAAACATGTAAGGATTCTTTGAAAGAAAATTTTTGTAAAAGAAGCAAAATATGTCTTAAATGATTTAATGAGATTAGCCGACGTCTGTTTTTAGAGGTCCTTGTGAGTTCAGTTCACAATTTGAATTCTTTTAATAGATTTCAGAGGATAATTATTGTCCACAACCTAATGGTTTGAATCATTACAGATGTACAATGTTCTGATGTCTCTCAGAAAGAAGGTTTACCCATCATAATCAACTGCACAGTCCTCGATGACACATTTCAAAGCCTGATTGTAACTTTGACTTCATCTTCTAATGGAAATAAAGAAAAAAAGATTGGCGTAATATTACCTGATGGAACAATTCAAAACCAAGCAAGATCATCCCCAGTTTTAAATACAACATTTTCTGTGGGTTCTAAATATATTCATTTTGTCATTGGTTCATCTTCATGTATGGAGGAAGGAAAATACTCTCTGACAAACACAAACGTTTCCATGGACACACAGCCATCGATCTCAGCTTTCTTCTTTGATAATTTAGGTAAGCCTTGCCCCTTTTTTGCCGCCTTAGTGCAGAGTGCACTAAATCTACCCGGCGTATGTCTGTACATCTAGCTGTCCGTCCATTTGTCTAGCTGTCTTTCAGACCTTTATTATGCCTCGAAAACTGAAAGAAATATGGAATTGATATTTTAATACCCAAAGTGGGTTCATCTGCCAAGAAATACATCTGTGAGATACCAAAGTCCTCGTTTGAATTATTCAAAAGTAATGTCCAAGTTAATTTAATTTGAAAATTGGTCAAATTCTAAGGGTGGATTAAAAATATTTGATTGTTTACACACTTAAATGTTTTTAAAAATCACACATTTGAAGTATGAAAGCCTTAGCATAAGCTTTTCCAACTTTATGGCCAAGGTTAAAGATTGGTAAATTTTTGTAAAACAAACTCAAAGGTCAAGGTCAAAAGGTCAAATTTGGTGATACTCGAAGAAAGTTCTCGTCACAAGGAATACAACTTTGAAATATGAAAGCCATTGCCCCACCCTCTCAAAAGGTATGACCAAGGTTTAGGTTTTTGCGAACAGAAAGTTAAACAGACAAACAGAGGGACGGACAAATGAATAGAGCAAAAGCTATAAAATCCTGAATCTTCGATTACGGGTGCGTAAAAGTTTTCAAAAACAATCGATCATTTATTCAATATAGACCTTTTTCCTATGACATTTTTTCCTAGGAGTTATTCCCCTTATCCGCCATATTGTAGGGCACCATTCCCTGATCCTTTCTTTATTCAACCAAGTTCAATTTGTTATAGTGGGTACTGAGGTAAAAATAACACTATTTTTCTAATAAATATACGTTTGTTAAAGCCTCTTTTATTTCATACTTTTAAGATTGTAAATATTTTCCCCCAGATATTTCTTGCACGTTTGTTTAAAATTGGTCGCTCAGAGAGTTGAATTCACTACTTTGCCGTACAAGATAGCGGAATAACTCCTAGGCAAAATGTGTCATAGGGAAAGGGTCTATTGTCATTGTTTTCATCAAGACCCTGTTAAGTTGCTTGTTGTCATTTTGATGTTCAAGTAATCTGAGGATATTTATTTGATACTCTAAATCAAAATGTTAAGAATTAAACGGTTTGATATTTTATGTCTAATACATATAAAATAAAAACAAAATCACGTATATTTCGTGAAATTATAATAAAAGCATGATAGGAGTCGAGTTAGATTGGAATAATGAAAAATAATGATATGAAATATAATAAATATGAATAAATATAATTGATGTTATCTTTATGATTATATTTGGTTGCATTGCAGTTCCTTTGAAAGGGCTTACAATCAATAGTGAATCATTGTACAAGGAAGGGAAGCCCTTAAAATTTAACTGTACGGCTACAGTGGACTCTGACCATACAGAACTTCTAGGATACTACAAGCTTCCATCTGACAGTTCTTACGTAAAAGTCCAAGGAGAACAAACTATTTTACAAACATTTTCTCAAAACTGTACAAAATCAGTGTTATCGAGGTTTGATACTGGTCTGATAGTCTCAGCAAATTTAAACGGAACTAAGCTGAAATGTCTGTACAACGAAATCAGCCCAGAAGCATCCGAAGAAAAACATGTTAAGATACAGTCAGCAGGTAAAACTGATGCAGAATATTTTTAATGCAGTAGCTTTATTTAATGTTTTTGGTTAAATGATGCGTAGAGAGTTCGCATAGACAAAAAAATAAATAACTTTTAACTGTAATTTTACATGAATATTTCGCCTATTTATAACTAGAATAATATTAGATAAGTAGTGATTAAAAACATTTTTTTTTCCAGATGTTGCTTTTAATACGTATAAACTTAAAGCAGAAGTACAAAGTAAAGCAAACTTTACATGCCTCGTAAGAAGTACTGGATCATATAAAGCAATAAAGATCTTAAAAATAATCAACAGCACATCAATGATAAAAATGGCCTCCTATACACCATCATCTGATTCAGTACAAAGTGTAGCCGGGGTTGATGCAAATATCAGCAGCAATGCTCTTACCTTGATATTTGCTTCAGTAAAGTGCTCTGACGAAGGGCAATATAATTGTACGGTGATAATGGATGATGATTCTGAAGAACAGCCTCCTCTTTCACTTAACATTCAAGTAACAAGTAAGTTATAAGTGGGGCTTACTAATTCAGGAAAATTTTGTTTTCGTTTTACATGTATTTTTACCCATATCTGTAACGTTGTTTGAGGCAAATCAAAATCAGATGTATTTTTTAAAGTAAACAACAATATTTCTTTAAGACTTTAATTTGTGTCCGGACAATATCAAACATATCAAATGCCTGCAGATATGAATGGTCGAAAATATCAGTTTTAAGTTCTTTGTTCTGTTTAATTTCCTTTGGACGTTTAAGTTTGTTGTAGTAAATTCCAATTGCAAAGCAGAGGTTTTTGAAATTATTATAAATCTCTTTAAAGCATTACCGGGCTCCTCGACTGTTGAGTTGTTTGTGGACCCAGACATTGTCGAAGGCAGATTTTCCCCATTTCATTATTGCCTTGGTTCTGTTGGGTACCCGGATGTTGGAGGTTATTTAGAGATTACCTTCGTCCATCCTTTGACGAGCGAAAATATAACACTTAATAAAGAAAGCTTGCGGACTACTTCTAGAGATGAAATGGAAATTGAAAGCACTCTTATGCCATACATCAAAGAAGATTGCAAAACTTTGGAGAAAATTTCATTCAAAATTAAACCTTCAAGGAAATGGAATAGAGGAAAAATCGTATGTGAAGTTAAAAGCAATAATGAATCGGTTCAAAAGGCTACAAAAGAGGAGGTTCTCTACGTTATTGACGGTAGATATTGATACATTCCATGTTCTATGAATGAATCTGAGAGTTGATTTTAGGACTAATTATACTATGTTTTTGCCCTGTGTCCTTGACCTTGAATTTCATCCTACTTTTCAAAAATGGTAATTTATCCAAGAACTTTTGATTTCAATTTGAAAAAAAATATTAAAGAGCACGTTGAGTTTTTACCCCTTGATCTTGATATTCATATTAAGGGAGCTCTAAACACTGATAGAAATGCTTTTTATTAAAAATATCACATTAAGTTTGCATATTGTGACTATTTAGTTTATTTTCAACAAGGGTACCTGTCCTATTTCTGCGTGATAAATCTTGAAAGACGATAGATCTGTAAGGAAAAAATCAGTGTTGATTACTTACATCGGGGCAATTAATGGAAAAAAAATAAATTCAGTTACTTATTCTTGATCTAATAAAATGCTAAGAATATTTTAATTTATTACAAATTGAATAATTAACTGTGAATAACTATTTTTTCTATCTTACTTCTAATATCTTACTTCGAAAGGAAAATCACTCAACTACATAAAACTACCCTATACATGTAAAAGAACTCTTTAGTGTGCAGTGCTTTGAGATTCCTTAATGATATCCCATCCATAGGAACACCAAAAGCAGGGGCACATAAATCTTTGTATTTACTTGTTGTATTCTTTGAAATATTTTCAGCATCATTCTGCAACGCTACGAACAACCAAGAAATCTATTTAGACCATGAAAAAAAGGATTTTTGTAATACCTATGTACAATGCAGTAGGGGAAATCCCTATGGAAAACGTTGTCCTCCAAATCTGTGTGTATTCATCGGAGAAGCTTATTGTGATGACTGTTTTCGTGTGAAATGTACAGAAGATGTAACGAGTACGGGTAAAAACGAACTTTTATGTTTTAAATATTATGAAACAAACTATAGTTTTCAAAATATTTTAAAATCTATAGGAATTGAATGTATAATTTTATTTTTCCATTAGGATTTAAAGTCTTCAGACATTTCATCCCAAAAGCATCATAAACAAAAACACTGAATTAAAAAATACAATTCTCTTTTATTGGTATTAGCATGTAAAAGTGGAAAGTGCCTAGTTTTTAACCCTAAACTTAAATGAAGATATATCAATGTCCCTGTTTTTTTAAAAAATAAAAATTAATGTTATAAAAATCTATCTCGTAAAGAAAAAATAATTTTGAAATGTTATTCTATTTCTTATGATTTAATACTTCTCTCCACCGCAGTATTTATTAATAATTTTATTGTAAGAATGTGTTGTAATAGATCACGTGTCCCCATCGACTTCAATGCATATATCTTTGTTATTTTAGTACTGTTAAATTTCCTTTTTGAAACTCTTTCTTGGTACACCATTTCTACTGTGAAATTTAACTGTTTAATATATCAAAGCATAATATGCTTGATTGATATTTTAGGATAGAGACATCCTAATATGGATAAAATGGAAACTTTGAAACGAACTAAGATTCATTTATATTGTTTTATGCTAGTACCTTGAATGGGAACTGAAGTACTTCTTTCTTATGAAAATGGTTTTCGATCTTTTGGTACTAAATGAAATTGAATTGAAATAGATTTTTTTCATAGAACCAACAACTGATTTGGTCACTGAGACAACAACAATAACAACACCAACAACAACGCAGCTTGGATCTCAGTGTAAGTAATGTTATTATATGGAAAAAAGGTAATTTTTAATTGCAATTGATATTTTGATTTCAGACACAGATTTCTACGTACATAAGGATCATGAAACAGACTTAGACTTAATTCAAAATTTTTATCATCTATAAAATCTTAAAACTTGTTAAAGGAAACTCTTAATTTGCAGATGACAGCAGATTGATGATACAAAATCGGAAAGCATTTTCATTTTGGGCTGCTTAACCTCTAAAAAAAGTTCAGCATCTAAGACATTTTTTGACTTAAGCTAAGATGTTTCATGATCCCGGGGTCTGGGCTTTTTTGTGTTTTAACACTGTTTAATACTGACGTTTACCACAGTATTGCTCAGGGACAACAAACAGGGTGTTTCACAATATATGTCACACATCTAAATGGGCATAATCTGAACATCGAACATGATACCAAAAATACCAAAACACAATAGGTAAGGATATTGATCTAAAATAATGATATTGCAAAGTGTTGCGAAAATTATAATATACAAAGAAGAAGCAGATTATATAACCAGTGATTTCATATGGCGTACAACGAGCAGCAGAAATATGCTTTAAATCTGAATTATAGAATATTTTACCGGATGTGATGTTGGAAAAATATCCAGACCAAAAATTGCTGTTTAGTTTTCATATATTAGGAATAGTTACGGAGTCTTAATTTAATTATAACGTTAAGTTGAAAGATAGTTTCTAGTAAATCCCCCCCCCCAAAAAAAAATCAAGAAGAGATGAAAGCAATATCAAAGTGAAATTGATCATTGAGAAAACCTCATGAAAGTTAGATCTGAGTTTAGAGAAATGGATGTAACAATGCCGGGAATTGTATTTAGAAATCTTAAAGTTGAGTTAAGTGTGTCTGCATATAAGATTTCAGCATTTAAAGGCAAGTGACAAGTTAAAAGTTTGCAAGATTGACTAAAAGGAAGAACGAGAGAAGTGGACACCAATTAAAACATACTCGTAGTTCTGAAACAAAACATTTAATAAAATGCAACTATTAATAAAAGTAAATATGCACTTTGGGGGTTCTAAAAAAGCCAGATATAAAACAAGAAAAGTCTCAGGTACATGGATCCTGTCAAACTTACAAAACAGTAATCAAAAATTTCTGAGCATTAGTATATTAAGTCATTTAGGATGATTTTGGGAAAATACTTTGAGAATAACACTTTGGGATTTGTTGCCATTGTAACTAAAGTGGAGAATATTGGATACTTCTGACTCAAAAAAATAATTTTGAATATCTGCTGATTAAAATGATATATAAAATGTATCCATAGCTTTTGTTGTCATTTATCTATCTGTTTTCAGATGTGTGACAAATATTGTGAAACACCCTGTAGGTCTTACATTTTAACGTAGAGGACATTTTAATTCCAGTTTGTTTTTGCATATTATCTATAAAAGGTCCTAAGGGAATCTTTTTTAAAGATGGTCGATCCTCGGTCAGAAAGGACAGCTCTTAGAATCAATCTATTGAAAAATGTCTCAAAATAAAGCTTGAAATTGAAAATTTTTCATGCAACAAAGAAATAGAGCCTTGTCTATTTTGTAACACCTCGGTCAATGAAAAAGATGAATAAAAATATCCTTGGTCCAGAGATGTATATTTGGAGGGGAATCCTGTACACAAGCGTCTGTAATTTTATGATCCGGGGGATCAATCTATCTTATTTGGGGTACTGCGAAGTCACATTTTTAGCTCACCTGAGCCGAAGGCTCAAGTGAGCTTTTCTGATCAAAATTTGTCCGTTTTCTGTCGTTGTCGTTGTTGTCGTTGTCGTCGTCGTCGTAAACTTTTCACATTTTCATTTTCTTCTCAAGAACCACTGGGCCAATTTCAACTTAACTTGGCTCAAAGTATCCTTGGGTGAAGGGGATTCAAGTTTGTTCAAATGAAGGGCCACGCCCTCGTCCAAGGGGAGATAATCATGAATTTATTAAAAATTAATGGCATTTTTTAAAAGTCTTCTTCTCCAGAACCACTGGGCCAGGAAAGATCAAACTCATGTGGAAGCATCCTCAGGTAGTGTAGATTCAAGTTTGTTCAAATCATGACCCCTGGGGCAAGGGTGGGGCCAAAATGGCCGACCCAAGTTTTACATAGGAATATACAGGAAAAATCTTTAAAAATCTTCTTCTCAAGAACCAGTGGACCAGGAAGATGAAACTCATGTGGAATCACCCTCAGGTAGTGTAGATTCAAGTTTCTTTAAATCATGACCCCCGGGGCAAGGGTGGCGCCAAAATGGCCGACCCTAGTTTTACATAGGAATTTATAGGGAAAATCTTTTTAAAATCTTCTTTTCCAGAACCACTGAGCCAGGAAAGATGAAACTCATGTGGAATCATCCTCGGATAGTGTAGATTCAAGTTTGTTCAAATCATGACCCCCGGAGCAAGAGTGGGGCCAAAATGGCCGACCCAAGTTTTACATAGGAATATATAGGAAAAATCTTTAAAAATCTTCTTCTCAAGAACCACTGGGCCAGAAAAAATGAAACTCATGTGGAATCATCCTCAGGTAGTGTAGATTCAAGTTTGTTCATATCATGACCCCTGGGGCAAGGGTGGGGCCAAAATGGCCGACCCTAGTTTTACATAGGAATATATAAGAAAAATCTTTAAAACTCTTCTTCTCCAGAACCACTGAGCCAGGAAAGATGAAACTCATGTGGAATCATCCTCAGGTAGTGTAGATTCAAGTTTGTTCAAATCATGACCCCTGGGGCAAGGGTGGGGCCAAAATGGCCGACCCAAGTTTTACATAGGGATACCTTTTAAAATCTTCTTTTCAAGTACATCAAAGCTATGATTAGTGATATTTTTATGGAATCATCCTCAGGTAGTGTAGATTCTAGTTTGTTCAAATGATTAACTCCTGGATGGGGGGGGGGGGGTAAAATCAAGCCCGATGTGCTCAGGTGAGCGCTGTGGCCCCTGGGCCTCTTGTTACGCATGGAATGATTTTAAACCCATGTATTCCTTCTAACATGTCCGAAAAAGTGCGATGGCTAGAACGTATTTTCAATCCTTGATTACAAAGAATCAATCAATCGTGCTATCCACATACCTATGTGTTTTACTAGTACTACAGTGTATTATCAATCTTAAAAGTTAAATATTTTAATCTTTATGGTAGTACTTAAATATGTTTGATACTTGTGAAGTAAAACATCGATTTTTCATACGTATAAATTCAATCTACTCTTCTCTGATTTCCGAAGATTCAATATGTCAAGACCAGATAGTTTTGGTCAAGATAAAATTGGATGAGAGGAATAATTTAAACACTTGTTTTTTTATATACTATAACTTTTGAATGAATAAAAGTGTTTTCATTTAATCAAAGTAATATTTGAATTTTTCAGATCTTAGTTGCACATCAATATTCGTAAATGAAGGAGAAACAGCAACGATTTCCTGTGTATTAAACATCACCTCTTTTGATTATATTTCTATATCAAATAGCAAGGGAAGTATATTGTCTGTTTTTGCAAATACAACAGTAATGTATACCGAGAACAGGTCTGCCGCAAAATTTGAATGCACAGTAACTGGAACAGCGTTAGCATTTGCTATAAAAACTGTGCAATGCAATGACTCTGTGGAATATGAGTTTGAACTATATTCGGAGGGAATACTCTCGAGTTCTGTCACAGCATCTGTACTTATGAAGAGTAAGTGGAATATTTTGTATTTATTGACATTTATTTTTAATAACAGTGTACAATTTTTTATATATTTTTTCTTTATCTTTTTTGTAGCGAAACCATTATCTCCAGAACTGACAATTAGCTACAGGTTGGAGATGGGTAAAAACCAACCAATTCACACTTGCAAAGGTTATGTTGGAAACCCAAAGGGTACCCTAGAGCTGGAAATAAAAAATACTACATCAGGAAATTTTAGCAAATACATTCCTACCACGCAAAGTTTTGGCTTCTCAGTTCTTGAGAATTGTAATAATCAATTGGTTCTAACATTTTCAATAGACCTTACAATAGATAATTTATCTGATCACTACCTGAGGTGTCTGGCTAAAGATACAAAGACTTTGCCAGACAGCGATCCCATTCCAATGTCAAACGAAGTTCCAATAGTTCCACTTGAAGGTAATTGCTTTGTTGAAATTTTATCTTCTGCAAATGCAATATTTTATGTTTCTATGTTTAAGGTAGTCCGATCCTCAGGTTTATAAAATTAGCAGTTAAGTAATCAAAAATACTCATAAAAGTATCTCTGAATCCATAAAGTTATGTAAATTTATCCACAGTATTTCTTAAATGTTAAAAATTTAAGTTAATCATACTACATGTATATAAAGAAAATGTCAAATCTCCAATTTTTGCAGAAAAAGCGAATTGGAATATCAACAATGCATTTTCTAATTGCAAATTGATCAACAAATATATTTTAAGTTAAAAAAGATAGGTATCCAGACATTAAGAATTTTTTTTTATACTTATTTGGTATCTTTTGTCTTCTGTTTCCGTCATCTATTCTATAATACGTAGTGAAAAAGGCTTTTGCTATCATTGCAAGACACAACAAATCACTTCTCATTTCATATCATGCTAATAAGCTGAATTCAAGAAAATCTTATTTCTCTAAAACTGTATTAATTTGCTTCCCTGTATAGGGGACAATTTCAGCTTTAATAAGACCTTTTCTAAGACTTCCAAAAACCTTTTTATCTTAGAAAGATGAATAAATGAAAATTGTTGCATGAGGAAATTTCATTTTCAAGCTTCATTTTGATGCATATCAAATTAAATATTAATTTTTGGAGTTATCCTTCCTGGCTGAGGATTAGATATCCTTAAAGAGTACAATTTTAAACTGCAAAACTTTTTTTGAGAAACGCTGTTTACTAGCACAAAATGTTCATGGGAATCCAGATTTACTGATCAGTCAGTACATTATCGTCGGTAAATTTGTTGTAATCCTCATGGTACGCCCATATTCATGTCATTAAATCAGATAACAGATATATTTTGGTCTAGTGTGCAGAACATCGATAAGTTGACAAAGACTATACACTGAACCAAACTTCTAAGTGTTCAACTAACACTTAACTTTTAAAGAACAAATGCATACAATAAATAATTTCTCTAATTTATGGTTAATAATGCATATTTAAGTTCGATATTGCGTTAATTTCATGTAAGTATCTCGTCAGAATTTTAAGCAAAGTGTCAAGGAAAAGATGTACCCTCGAAATAAAAATTCACACACAAAAATCTCTATGGAGTAGGAACACCACTTGCTCTAATTACTACAAGACAATCTTGACTGTTGGATACCATGTACATTGTACATGTACAGTGGACCTTCAGATATCCGGACGCCAGATATCCGGATGCTTCAGTATCCGGACGATTTTTCATCGGAACGAAATTTTAAAATGTTATTCTGTCTTGTTTAACTGGTGATTCAGATATCCGGATGCTTCACATATCCGGACAAATTGACTGGGAACCAAAGCGTCCGGATAAATGAGGATCCACTGTACACTGTACCCCTGAATAGGAGATTGACCCATTTGCTGCCACACCTACTGCATATAGATCTGTACAAATCGTCGAAATTGTGTGGAAGGGGGGAAAGGGGGCTTTGACTATCCTTTTAAAAATCCAAAATGTGTTCAATGAGATTAAGATCCGGGAACTTGACAGTGTATCATCACACAGATGCCTTTTGGTCAATATCCTATTGTGTTTAGCACGTAAGTGCACCGCCTTAAGGATCAGCTTGAGCTGATATTAGACTGTCACGAGCACTGATCTCTTCTTATTTTCATACGATTTAAATGGTTTGTTTTCATGTTTCAAAGATTGTTTCAGAACAATTTAACACTCATTGAACCTGGTGCGACGCGAAATCTTGGCCTTAGACGAAGATCAAGGTCATTACCGGTTTGGTTAAATTTTGTAATAAATACATTTATTAATCTGAACACTTAGAAGTTATGTTAAATGTATATGTAGTATCAACAATAAGTAGACATATTTAAAAGCAAATAATTAATTTTCCGAGGCCGATCGTCTATAATAAAGATGCATTACTATGAGTAGTGCAGTATATTTTACTCTGCAAAATTGGTGATATTGATGGGGTGGTTTAAAGATGACTTTCAAAGCTTCATACGAATGACTTTTCATACCAAAATAAAAAAAAATCCGTGTTGTCGAGGAGGGATGTCCGTTCTCGGGGGGGGGGGGGGGGGGGGAGGTCCAAGGTAACTTTAACTTGGTTCAGTATATACTTTGATAACTGCTTACCCCCCCCCCCCCCCACACACACACACACACCGACCCCCCTCTAGATCCGCTCATGGTTTTGCAAACAATCAACACTGCTTACCATTAAAATACGCCTTAAAATGTATATTTGTACTGATGCTTGTAACACGTGCCTAATGTAACCCCTCCTCCTGAATGTGGGATAAATAATTTCCATCGTTGCTAAATAAATTTGTTTTTTTTCTTCATTTTAGCAAATCCTTGCAGCGGGATCATCGGGTTTTTCATACATCCAAGAGACTGTAGATATTACATTCAATGTAATAATAACAATATTGGTCACATATTTAATTGTGAATCAAAATGTTTTAACCTCACAAGTTCACAATGTTGAAAATGCTATATGTGACGTTTTAAGGTTAGACATACATGTAATTATTCCTATGTTTTACTCCTATTTTTATGATTTAAAAAAATGCTTCTAGGAAAAATAGAATTGTGTTTAACTTTATTTTTAAAACGGACAATTTTATCTTTTAAAAATAGATAAATAGAGTTTGAAAGGTTGCTGTGAAAGACCACAACACCTAACAAAACACTGATTCTCATGTATTTATTGTAACCGAACTTATTGAAGTATAGTTTATATTATATATATCATTGAAGCTTTCAACTCTTAGTAGAAAGAATTATATTATGATTTACAGGGTACCTGTAAAGTGCGAAACGAAATAGAAACGAAACGAACTGAAACGAAACGAAATCTGCCGAAACGAAACGAAATCTACCGAAACGAAACGCAACCTACCGAAACGAAACGAAATCACGACGAAACGAAACCTGCCGAAACGAAACGAAACAAAACTATCAAAATGTTTGTTTTTTTTTCAAATCAAGGTACATGTATATAATTATATATGTGTAACTGCATGTGGACTTTTTCTTACTTCAAATAAAATTTATTTATCTAGATACAACATATCCATCAAACCGGTCACGGTAGCCTAGTGGTAGAGAGTTCGCTTCGTGATCGGGAGGCCCGGGTTCGATTCTCGTTCGCGGCGCGGCGTAAACAAAGGTAGTGACTGTTCCTTCGCCATGCGATCGGCACTAGAAGTGAAAGTCACGGGTCTTTTGGATATGACCTTAAAAACGTAGGTCCCGTGTCACGGTAGGCGTTGGCACGATAAAGAACCCTCACTGCTCAATGGCCCTGAGTGCCGAGTATAGGTCTAAATTTGAAGCCCTTCACCGGCATCGGTGACGTCTCCATATGAGTGAAAATTTCTCGAGAGGGACGTTAAACAATATACAATCAATTAATCATATCCATCAAAATTGATGTTGCTACATGTAAAGGCTCGTTTATGTACGGGTCAAAATAAAGTCACTGTACATGTATTTTGTTACATGTAAAGGCTCGTTTATGTATTGGTCGAAATAAAGTCACTGTATTGTTGTATTGCGAATGTCTTAAGAGCCTGTCTACGAGAAAACCATGCAGATATATAGAAAAATGCTCTGGTAGGCACTCTCAAGAACAAACTAATTTTTATTATGAACTTAAAGGACAGCCATTGAGAGTCAGAAATATGTTGTTTATTTTTGCATCTTTTGTTTCTATTTTTAGTAACAGCCAATAATTCATTTTGGTCAATATTCAAGGGAAAATGCAAAAAAGTTGGTGTAAAAATGACAATTTCAATATTTAAAAGTAAAAAAGAAAAAACAATATATGAATAAAAAGGCAATGTGTTCTCATAGAAATAAGTCGTAAAATTAAGTTGGAATCAATTTTTTTGTAAAACCCCTATATAGAAGGCTGCCCCGGGGGCACAAATATTGGCATGGTGCCAAGAAATGATAGTGGTTCATTTTTTGTTAATATTCAGGGATACATTTCTTAGAAAGTGACGCTTCTTTTTCAGAATTTTGTGCATTTAAGAATCTCTAGGATATTATGCCAACAATATGTAAAATCCACTTTTGGACTCTTAAGGACAGAAAAGTTATTATCGTAATGAAATTACCTCAAATTCAAATAATGGAAAAATTCATGATTTTATAAGTTTTGTGTAAAATATTTACAAATATAAACAATGAAAATTATTTTTAATTTTATAAAAGCTATAAATATTTTTTTTTCCTGCTTTTCCTGTGAAAAAAAAAGTATTTACTATTTATTTAGATTTTGTTAAAATTGTCTCCCCTGTTGCGCTCTACTGTAGAGAAGGTAGATAATGATTATGTTTACGAAGTTTATAAACAGATGTCTGTCATCTAATCGTTTTAGGCATAAATTATGTGTGATTTGAAGAAAATTGTCCCTCCTGTGAATGTAATTTGTTACGTATATACTAGTGGCCTATGTATAAAATGCATAAAAAATTATGAAAACCATCGGGATCGATGTACGGTTCCGTAACCACGTGTAAACATTATGGCATCCTGAGACGTTTTGTTACCGTTTTGTACATCCTCAGAAAAAGACTCAGGTGCGGGAATTGTTTACGAGTCTTCAGATTCTGGCTCTGATTTTGATGAATATGATTCTGACAGCAAACATTCATTTGGTAGCAAGACGGATGTAGTGATGATGATACCGAAATTTGAAAAGAAACAGGTAGGTGGATCATGGTTAATAATACTATGTACCTTATAAAAAGGCTTATTGATATGTAAAAAATAAATAAATAAACAATTTTGATGGGGACTTGATTATGGACAAGATAAGATTTTTTACAAGACACTATCAGGTCTGGTACAATCACTAGATTTAGCTATATACGTAGCTTGATTTACCTACTTAGTTAGCTTAATTTACCTACCTGAAGTAGCTTTATTTAGCTACCAAAGTAATTTATTTCTATAAATAATACCTACGTGACTAAATCTAGTGATTATACTGGACCTGAATATATACCTAGCAAACCTGTCAAGAGAAATTTCAAGGTTGGTACTTGTACATGTAGCAATAAAAATATCTGTATAAATTCAACAATATTGCAAAATATTCACATCTGCAGAATTATAAATAGCATAAGTAGCCTTTGTTGGGCGATGAAGAGGGAATGAAAAGTTGAATAGGTCCAGGGTTTTCAAAGACTGTTTACTAAGTACAGCAAAATATTTGAGAGTCCAAAGACAGATTTTTTATATAATGTAGACAGACATGTTGTCTAATAATTGGTATGAGATTGAGTTGATTCTAAGCGTCACTTTCTGAGTTATAGGTTTTTGAAAAGTGAATATTTTCACCAGTTTTCAAAAATCTGGAAATATGCCAGATTTGTGACCTTTTTGCACTTAAACGAGGGCACAGTTTGTGATTATGAAAAATTTTCCGAAACAAGTGTATCTTGTTACTTTCAACCATATATGGTTATTTAATATCATTATCAAGTAAAATGCTGAATTTTTAAATATGAAATCCTATAAAATTCCTGTTTTCACCCTGCGTAAGGATCAAGAATTCTATTTTTAGTAACAGTGTTGATTTAACCCCTTAAGTGGGACCACACTGAAACAAATTTTGTGGCAAAATATTTCATATTATAGAAGAAATTTACACACAAAACATGAAGTTGATCCGAGAACCTTGCTCCCATAACCTCTTGCATGGTTTTCTCGTAGACATGCTCTTAAGCCATAGGATAAACTAGCGACTTAGAGTATTTAGTAATCCATTCCGAGGTGTCTGGTTTTATCGTTCAATTATACATGTAACTCCTTGTGTATCCTTTCTACATACATACGGACCTATTTTTTTATTGAGGTAATTTTCGAGGAAGAAATGAGTGGTTTGCAATAAAGAGGCTCGATCAGAGACGTAGAGAAGATATATATTATATAGGCATTAAAAATTGGGGTTAATCTTTTTGTTGGTTAAGCCCCCCCCCCCCCCCCCCCCCCCCCCCCCACTTTCAATATCCTTCCGGCGCGTACGCCTATGTATGAGCTTGAAACGAAACAAAGGCCTGTGGTGCTTGAACTATATAAATTTGATATTAAGTAAAAATTAGTGTTGGCAACGAGTACCCGGTTAACCGGTTAACCGTCGAATGATGCGAGTATCGGTTAGTAAAATTGCTATTCGATTACTTGGATAAAATGCATCTTATATGGTAAATAGCTGAAAAATGAAATGTTAATTTGTTTTTAAGGGTACAAAGAAACATTTCTCTAATTTTCTTTACCGTTAGACTTAATGATCTACATGTGTGGTTTCACTAATAGGATTGATTGGTTTTCACACTTAATTATTTGATAGCTTTGATTGCCAGCAGTTTATAAAGTTTTGAAGACCCAGGTTATAATTACCTCATTAAATAATTTATCAAGATGCCGTCAAAGATATGTATTTGTATGCACCAAGTATTTTAAAAGAACAGCTGAGGGCATACTTGTAAAATGTAATTAATGTGAATTGGAGTTATCGTGACTTCAAACTTTTAAATAATTATTCTCCTTGATCGTGACATATATCGGGGGTTGAAAAGTAAAATCATTGTAAAATAACATGAAACAATGAATATTTATTTTTTTCTGATTTTCATTTTTTGATTCTAAAATTCACGACATTGCCTATGTGCTCTTTTTAAGTTTATAAATAAAGTTAATTCACAATACCTATATGTTTTATTAGAACCGATCAGTAAAAGATGAGATAAATGATACATATGAATAAATCATCCGAGTAACCGGGTACTCGATCGGAAGATTGAGCGAGTAACCTGTTACTGAAAATCGTCCGATTTGCCAACACTAGACTAAAAATAGACCATATAATCATTCTGAAAGTTTTGTTTCGTTTCGTTTCGGCAGATTTCGTTTTGATTTCGTTTCGTTCGTCTTGATTTCGTTTCGTTTCGGTAGGTTTCGTTTTGTTTCGGTAGATTTCGTTTCGTTTCGGCAGATTTCGTTTCGTTTCAGTTCGTTTCGTTTCGTTTCTATTTCGTTTCGCACTTTACAGATACCCTGATTTACAAGATATTTCAATCATATCAATTCTTTCAAATTGCGGAAGCAAATATCATGTTTAAGTTCCAAATAGCACAATATTTATAATTTCCTTAGTCGATTCTATTGCGTTATTCAAACGATAGTCGACTATTCGGAGCATTTTTTTTTATAACACGGTGTTTTTGAAAACTTATTAATTAAGATAAATAGGAAAGGGGGAATTGTAAACACACACTATCCATACCTCCGGTGATATTGTTGAATTGTGCTTGTTCAAATGAAATCAAAATATCTTTTATGTAAGATTATTGTATAAATAATTATCAAAGTTTAAAAAACTTCGCGGCTATGCAAATATTGTGTGTCTCTAGCATTTGAAATTCCTAGAGGTTATAAAATAAATATATTTATAATTGGTACAAGTCAATTTAA